GAACATCGGATGGGAAGAAACGGGTGCGTACTATTCAAAACGAGGTCTAAAACCTCCATAGTAGGACTTAGCCCCGAACACACGGGTCGGAAAGATAGTTTGCATACATTCATTATAAAGGTGTATTGTGTTTTTGGGGGGCAGACGGTAGCGGGACTTAGGCCCCTGAACACAGCGCACCCTCATTTTACGGCTGTATCGGCCCGGAAAGATAGCTTGAATACATTCATTACCGAGAGAAGGTTAACGGACTCAGACCACTTGCCATGATGTCATTTATAAGAAAACCAAAGGGTCATTTTAATCAAACTTGCCACCAATTCGTAGAGTGGAGACCATACTAACTAACTGCAAAAAAAAATCCAAAAAAATATAATAAAAAACATATGAAACCGCAAGGCAAAAGTGCATAGCACCAGGTCATAAGGGGCAGGTCTTGGGTCACACACAGTGATTGCCAGAATGATGCCCATGCTTTCAATTCGAGGGAGGATGGTAGTCACTGTTAATGTTAGTATTATAAAATTTTAAAAATTAGGTTGACAAAACTATTTTGTTTAGAATTTGAGAAGAGATCCAGAGAAAGAGAAAAAAAAAATAAAAAAATGGTGGGGGAGTCGCAAAAAAGACGACGAGGAGAAGCGCGAGAATGACGACGAAGGAGAAGAAGAGGATAGAACGATGGCGATGAGTGGTTATCAGTTTGCGCTCTGATTTTTTTTATTTTTTTTTTTAATTTATTTATTTATTTATTTATTTATTTATTTTTGTGTGTGTGTGTGTGTTAATCAGGTCCTTTCACAAACAAAAAATCAAACAGAAAAAAAAAGGAAAATTCAATCCAGGTTTGGATTTGATTGAGGACTGGAACGTGATAAAAGAATGGAGGTGTAAGGGGAAAAAAAAAAAAAAAAAAGAAGAAGAAAAAGAAGAGAATGGAGGTGTCTGAAATTCTAAATCGAGCTGAAATAATCGAACCGAATTTTTTCATTAAAGGCATTGTATTATCCCTTTGGGCATTTACCGTTGATGTTCCTGGCCGCGATTTCGACGTTTTCTTAACCGAAATCGTCAGTGTTTACCGGGGGCGAGGTCCCACTACCTTCTTCCCCCGAATACAACGTACGGTCATTCGAGCTGTATTTGGGGCATCTTTCAGCCTAAATACAGCTAGAATGACCGTACGTTGTATTCGGGGGAAGAAGGTAGCACCATGGATTGGATTGAACGCCTGAATCTAGACCTGTTCCTGGAAAAGTGCAGAATCCCGTGATTGAACAGCTTTTCTGCATCTCTGCTTAAAACACGTCCAGATTCAGGAGCTTAATCCAATCCTCTTTGCTAATGGGACCATGCTCCGGGCTCCAGCCAGTAGAACCCGACGATTTCGGTGTTTAAAAAAAAAACGCCGAAATCGCGGCCAGGAACATCAACGTTAATTTTTTTTATTTTTTTTTTATTATTATTATTATTATTATTATTATTATTATTATTATTACATCAACGTTAAATACCCGAAGGGGTAAAAGAGAAGGTTAACAAAAAAAACAAAGAAACGCAAGCAAGGCTGCCCACCTCTCGAGGCAGCAGAGTGCCCTCCTTACTCCCGGGGCCAAGTTTCACTAGCAGCGTCGAGTTTCCTCAACGCCTGAATCTGGACGGGTTTGTGGAGATGTGCAGTTGAGGTAACTCAACGCCATTTCTGCACATATCCACAAACACATCCAGATTCAGGCGTTGAGGACACTCAACGCTGCTAGTGGGACTTCGCCCCCGGTCAGGATGATGATGGTGACGATTGAAATTCCTTCTCCCTTTCCCCGCGTTCGTTTCCTGCTCATCTTCCTTTTTTTTCCTTTGTCTCGTTTCCCCCCTTCTTCCTTCCACCTTAAACCCCGACTTTCTTAATTTTTACCTTAACAAGTATGTGTTGGGCGCTGAACACTGATTGGTCTATAATTTTCAGTCTTCAAAGTTCAAAAACAAACAAACAAAAAAAATCAGCCTTACAGACATTCAAAGCTTACCGAGAAAAAAAAAAAAAAAAAAAAATTACGGAGGAGAAAGGAGGCGGCGGCAAAGCTAGGAGTCAACTGGCGCGAAAAAAGAGACGGATTCCCAAAAATAATAAAAAATAATAAAAAAAAAAAGACGGAAAAAAGAAAACGAAGAAGAAGAAGATGCTGCTGCTGCTGCTGATAATGATGATGATGATGATGATGAAGAAGATAATGATGATGACGAAGAAGATGAAGAATAGTGAGAACGAAGAAGAAAAAGAAGAAGAAGAAGATGATGATATGATGATGATGATGATGATGATGATGATGATGATGATGATGATGATGAAGATGATGAATAGTGAAAACAGCGACCACAGACTGCTTCTCGCACATGCTTCAACAGATGATAAACTTTACATCTTGGCATGAACTGTTCTCAGTAGAACCGTGCATATTACCCGACTTGGAGGCGATTCGCGGCCAGTCTGCGCTCCTGGCACTCCTGAGGGGGCTTCTCCCAAGATCGAGCCTTGCGGCACCGCCAGCTTACCGACCATCTGAGAATAGAAGACTACTGGCCTTGCTCTCTGCTTATATACTTGCCATCTATCTACCGGCTTAGTCACACACACACACACACACACACACACACACACACACACACACACACACACACACACACACACACACACACAGAGTCCTAGTCTGCCGCGCCGTTCAGTTACGTGTCGGCAAGATGGAGAAGAATGTGAAGAAGGAGGAGGGAGGAGGAGGAGGAGGAAGAGTAGGAGGAGGAGGAGGAGGGAGGATGGAGGAGGAGGAGGGAGGAGGGAGGAGGGAGGAGGGAGGAGGGAGGAGGAGGACAATAATGAACAAAGCACGAAAAAGAAGAACTGTCAACTGGAGGATTTTTCGGGTTTCAGTATGATTGACAATTTTCGTATCTCTGAGAAGAGGAAAGTGGAGGGGGAAGAAGAAGAAGAAGAAGAAGAAGAAGAAGAAGACACAGGAGGAAGAAGAAGAAGAAGGCGGGAGGAAGAAGAAGAAGAAGGCAGGGGAGGAAGAAGAAGACGGGACGATGAAGACGAAGAAGGAGACATAGCAGGAAGAAGGAGAACAGGAAGACAGGGGGGGAACGAGAAGGAGGAGAAAGAAGAAGAAGAAGAAGAAGAAGAAGAAGAAGAAGAAGAAGAAGAAGAAGAAGAAGAAGAAGAAAGAAAGAAAAATTGTCAAGTGAAATAATATGGGATTTAGTATGATTGTTAGTTTTTGTAGTGCTGAGGAGGAGGAGGAGGAGGAGGAGGAGGAGGAGAGGAAGAAGAAGAAGAAGAGCAAGAAGAAGAGGAGGAAGAGAAGGAGGAGAATTGAATTGAATTGAATTGAATTGAATTGAATTGAATTGAATTGAATTGAATTGAATTGAATTGATAAAGCGAGGCTAATCGCCAAATACCCACACTCAGATTAGAGTCGAGAAAGCACCTGCATGGACAACAACACTCCCATAGGTCATGAACGCGCACGTACAGAAGAAGAGGAGGAGGAGGAGGAGGACGACGACGACGAGGAGGAGGAGGACGAGGAGGAGAAGGCAGCGTGGTCCATAGAGATTTTAATTCTTATTAGCGTAGTAAAAATATAACCTTTGTAAGTGCGTCAGCTAAGTCCAAGGCTCTTTTATAAAAAGGGCATCTTTTATAAAGAGGGCATCTTTTATAAAAGAGACCCCAATAACTTAGAGACGAGTATACAGTGGGCGTGATTTTTATATAAAAAATAAAAAATAAATAAAATAAAAAAAGACAAGAAAGATGAAGAAAAATACAATGCGAGTGGCAGCCTGGTGGAAAGGAGGGGCGTGCACTGGGGAAGAGGGGGGTGGTCTTGAACTGCGTGATTGCCCCATTAAATTACCAGAGGGAGGGAAAGGAAGCGCAATTGCGAGAACGAAGAAGGGAGAACGGAGAACGGAGAACGGAGAAGGGAGGGGGGAGGGAGAAGGGAGAAGGGAGAAGGGAGAAGGGAGAAGGGAGAAGGGAGGGAGCACGGAGAAGGGAGAAGGGAGGGAGCAGGGAGAAGGGAGAAGGGAGGGAGAAGGGAGAAGGGAGAAGGGAGAAGGGAGAAGGGAGAAGGGAGAGAGAAGGAAGAAGGGAGAAGGGAGGGAGAAGGGAGAGGGTAAGGGGCATATGAGCAGAGGAGAGGGAAAGTCAGCCTATACTCACATCTTCGAGATCAGACGGGGGTCCTTAGCAAGGATCACCCAGATAAATCCTGAATAGCCCCCCTTGCGCAAGCATGACACTCGTAATTGGGGTTGCAGAATAGCCTCTGAGATGTCCGGCGTAGCAGGAACGAAGGCTTCGTTCCCATTAGGCATTGCGGCCGTCGCAGTAGTCCACCGACCACGAAAACCCCTCCCCCCTCCCCCCTCCCTTCTCCCTTCTCCCTTGTTGCGTTCCTACCTCCACCACAACTCAGCTGTGCTTCTTTACTACTGGGCTTCAGCCCGCAGCCATCGCCGAGGCCCCAATTTTTTCGGTTTCAGCTCACGGGTGTGGCAAATGAAATATTGAAATACCCCGGCCAGTTGGTTAAGAGGGGCCATAGGTAGGGCCCATTATTGACCCGGACCCTTTTTTTCCATTCTCGGCCGTAGACAACATACATCGATGGGTAAAAGTGGAAGTAATTAGATTAATTGCTAAGGGGTATTGTGTCCTTTTTCTTCCTTTTGTTGAACCGACAGGGCTGAGGTCCACTAGGTAGCAAAGAGGATTGGATCGAACGTCTGAATCTGGATATGTCTTATGCAGAGATGCAGAAAAGCAGTTCAATCTCGATTTCCTGCACCTCTCCACAAACATGTCCAGATTCAGGGATTCGATCCGACCCTCTTTGCTAGTGGGACCACGCCCAGGCGAAATTGGGTGGAATTGTGGGAAAAACCGGCCCTACTTTGGCTATTTTGGATTTTTTTTTATTTTTTTTTTGGGCTATTTTGGAATATAATTCAACGTGTGGTTGTTTTCATAGCCCGTTGGTCCCCCCAATTGGCATTAAAAAAGCAGTCTCTGCTGATGTTCATAGGGGGAGGGGTACTCAGGGAGGCGCACCCACTGGCCACTCAGATGATGCTCGGTCCCTCTGCTACCGGCTGTCCCCTGGCCGGTGCCCCCCAGTGGGGGATCAGGGGGATCCCTGAAGGCTATCAGGCCACCCTAAGGCTCTCTTTTTTTTTTTTTTTTTTTGCAAAAAAGGACATTATATTTCTGAAAATGTACTGAGGCCGGGAATTCCTCACAAACAACCCGGTAAAAAGAAACTGGGGCCATTACCCAGCTCAGGCTTGAACTGGAAACCGGGTCCAGCGTCCCATTGAAGAAGGTGGGACCCGATTTGCTGAAATAGGGGCCAGCATCCCTTATCTGAAAATAGCAATCTGTGAGCCAAAAGGGTGGCTCAGCCTATCTTGTCCCTCTGGTATGTCTATGTCCTGTCTATAAGTAACTCTGTTGATTGAATAGAAACTAAATGATCTCACCAACAGGTTTCCCCCGAAAAWAAACAGCGGCCTAYCATTGGCCTAATGAATGGCCTAATGTACGGCCGTTGGRGCCTGAGTAGTAAGCTCYCCGAAGCCTCGTAACAAGAACCTTGAGAGCCTAACTCGACTCAGAACTCTGTTGGGGAACCCGCCTGAGGCTGAGAAAGGAAACGAATGAGAAAGAACTGCTGTGTAAAAATTGACTGTCAACCTTATGTGATCCAAGTGTCTGCGCATGGCTTCTCTGAACTGGTATGGGAGAAAATTCTTCAGATTATCAGAAAAAGGGAAAGAAGAGGGAAAAAATTTGGTCAGAGAACCGAAAACTGAGCCATGGACTTTCCCCCCCAAAAAAAAAAAAAAAAAAAAAACTTAATGAAAAGGACTACTTCAAATTCTAAGTCTAATCATTTATAGACTTATCAAATCTAGAATCATGCACCTTTGCTTAGTACCTGAGGACAAAAGCATACTGAAGATGAGCTCCCCTTTGTCAGACGGAATTGCCCAGCAAAAGGGAGAACCCCACAGTTTCTTGAAGTGAAAAAATTTCCACTCGTCCGTCTTCCTGGTTCTCTTGATACGCCGCCAATCYGCTGCCATGGTCGCCTTGAGATCGGAAAACATCTGATATTTGAGGGAGAATAGGCTGGATTCTTGCTCATCAAAAAGGAGGACATTTCTTTTCCTCCATAGCAGCCATAGGGCTATAGGATAAAAATGTAAGCCAATAGCTGCTGATGTAGGAACAATAGCACCAGAGATTATATTATTTCCATAAAGCAAAGAACCAGAAACAGGTTCACGAATGCCATCGATATCTTCAGCTGGCCTAACAGCCTTGGTAAGTCCTGCAAAATTACCAGTGAGGACCGTCTCCTTGCTCCATACCTGTGAGGCGGATTCTTCAGGGTAAGCAGATGACCACGTCTCCCTCCACCAAAGCCAGAAAGCYGAAACTGAGGGACACTCCCACCACATGTGTGGGGTGTCTTCGATTGCTAATGGGTGACAGGCTTTGCAGAAGAGACTGATGTTCATACCTCTCACTACACACCATTTGGCTGTTGGCATACTGAGCATGAAATTAAGCCACAGTAGACTAGCGTATTTTACGACTGTGTATGATTTCAGAGATTTACCCATATTTGAGCAATCTGAGAACCGAGGCTTTGGCAGGTCATTAGCCTGCGAGAATTCATTCCAAGCTTGAAAGTTGGAGATGTCCAGTTTGTTGGCCTGAGTACCCAGACTGTAACCTGTTGAGACCCGATAGTCAATCAGGGCACAGTGTTGATCCTTTGTAGAAGGAAGTGCCCAGCCCCAAGAGAGCGGGTTTACTCTGCAGTTTAGCAAAGGTTCACCTTCCAGCAAGAGAGAGTGAGTAGTCTCTGTCCTGTTTCTCCCCTGCTTTTCATGTGACTGTACCATGATTTGTAAGGCCTCCCTTGTTTGAAGGGATACCTGTGCTGTTTCCAGTTTGGTCAGATTGTCGCCAGTGACACTCCATTCTTCGCATAGCATAGACTCTTCGTCCAGTATTTCAGAGATCCTCCAGAATCTTGTACTGTCTTCCGTTGTCGTCACCCACATACCTTTCTGGAAAACATCCCTGGAAAGGTAATCTTTCCATTTTGCTGGTATGGCTTCAATGATGCTGGCTAGGTGTGTGTGTAAGTTCCTTAGATTGCCCACTTTCCGTCTCAGTTCTGTTGCAGTGATCCAGCGGTTCAGCAGAATAACCCATAAGTGTCTAATCTGTGATACGCCTCTCTGGCACCATGACATTCCAAAGTCCTGAGAGCTCGTACTTACAGAAAAGATTTGACCATTGTTAGATCTGATTGCAGGATTATCAAAGAGTGGTTGGATCAACACCTCCTGGGAGGACTGAGGCCATCGAATGATGTATGGCATCAGGGTTTTCCAGGCAGCGATAATCGGTTTCCACACTCTGGACTCGATATGTTTGTTTAGGAATCCCTTGATGAAAAAACACGGCCATATGTGTTCTTGGTTGAGGATACCCCATTCCCTAGAGAGAATGTACGTAGTCATTCTAACCCAGGGGCGATCTGTTTCCACAAGCATTAGTCTTATAATCCATTTGATCAGGAGGGCTTTATTCTGCAGTTCTATATCTAGCAAACCAAGCCCTCCATTGTCCCTCTTCTGGGTTATTTTCCACCATGCTACTTTCGGGATCGCCTTTCCACTCTCAATCGTGCCCTTCCACAGATATTTAGAGATCTCTTGTCTGAGCCTTTTCCCGGTGGCCRGGGCGAGGTTAATAATCGAAAGTATGTACCAGATTGTAGAAAGAACCATGGTGTTGATCACCAAGGCTCTCCCGAAGAGTGAGACTGACCACACCTTAGACCAAGTATTTAGTCTCTTGAGAATTCTATCTTCTACAATCTGGTTTTGCTTTCTAGCATTGTCGCTATAGGAGATCTCTATGCCCAAGAAACGCTCCGAGTGGTCCCTGTTCTTGACAGCCATTCCCATATCTGTATCCAATGAATCGCCTTCCCGAGTCAACGCAATCGATTTGTTCCAGTTAACCTTTGCCTCTGAAGCCTTACCAAAAAGTTCCAAGGTGTCTTTAACAGCCTATAGGGAAGAAGGAGAGTTCTCTGAGATAACTGACAGATCGTCTGCTAAAGCCGAGGTTTTTTATTGATATTCTGTAGAGATTTGAAGGCCTTTAATTACCGGGTTTCTTCTGATCATTGTAAGGAGTACTTCCTGCTGAATGACATATAGCAGGGGGGCAAGAGGACAACCCTGTCTAAGGGAACGAGACAGCGTGATCAGAGTAGACCTCTTGCCATTGGTTATCACTGAGGCGACTGAGTCTAAGTATAGCATTTTAACCCACAGTCTGAAATTTTCACCGAAGCCTCTCCTCTTCAAAGCTTCCAAGACGAAATCCCAGTTAACTCTGTCATAGGCTTTTTCAAAGTCTATGAGCAGAATAACATGAGAGGATTTTCGGTGCTCAATCACTTCCATCGCTTGCATAACAGTCATAACATTGTCTAACACTAGTCTGCCCTTCACGAAACCAGACTGATCCGGATGAGCCAGAGATGGCAACAGTTCTACTATCCTTCTGGATAGCGCTTTGGCCATAATCTTTCCTGATGCGTTTAGCAGCGAGATAGGTCTCCAATTACGAATATCCCTCTTGTCATTTTTCTTGTAAAGGGAAGTTATAGCTCCCTCCATCATAAGTCTACCCAGCTTAGAACCTTTGATAACTCCATTAAAAAGCTCGACCAGGATAGGCCCAAAGATATCCCATGTCTTGGAATAGAATTCAATTGGTAAACCATCGAAACCAGACTGATCCGGATGAACCAGAGATGGCAACAGTTCGTTTGGTGGAGATATCGAAAAAAAGAGAATTTTCAATAATATCACGGTGATTTGTAGACGTAAGAAGGAGACAAGGGAGATGTCCTTTCTAATAAAAGTCGGGCCTTGAGAGAAGACCAGCAGGGGTAGAATAGGGAAGAAGAAACGAACTGGCTGTGGTAACCTAAAGGGAGAAAAAACAATAGTGGCAGAATACGGTAAAGCGCAGGGAATCTTGGAATCAAATTCCAAAATTACGAGTTCGGAGAACGGAAAAAACAGCGGAAGAAGGAAAAGAAAGAAAAAACAAAAAGCCGAGGCATATGTGTACCTCCGCCTATTAGTTTTAGGTAAGAAGACACAGAGGAAAGTATAAGAA